GTGATGATCACTTGACTACTGCAAAATGGTGGTGAGCATGGGTGTGCAGGTATCTGCACAGTGACTGTGCACACTGAGGGAAGGCTCGGAGACAAGTTATCTGCGTGTAATCCCAGCAGTGGAAGGCAAGAGGGCGAGAATACTCTCAGTCTAGGCTATGCAGGAAGGAGGCCTGGGGATGGGAGGAAAGTGAAGAGAGAAGGGGGGGCGGGAGACAAGGCCACAAGCGATTGTGGCATTCATTCATTAAATACTGTCTGGATGACAGACACTCAGAAGCAGGGTACATTTGTGAACAAAGCAAAGATTTCCCTCTGCAGTGGGGTTTATATTTCAGTGAGATAAACAAGGATGGAGCAGATGTTATTAACACGGTTAATGGTATCTAGAGAATGAGAAGCTATGGGGGGAGAAACGCAGTTCAAATAGAATCGGCTATCAGTGAAGTGGGTGCATGGGCCAAGACCATCTAAACAGGTTAGATACAAAGAAGGTAGCAGTGACTGCTCGAGGCAGTGAGGCAGCCATGTAGGTCTGGACAGAGGCCAGACAGAGCAGAGGGCCATGGCTTCTGTGAACTTTGTGGGTTTAAAGACAGCAAGATGGCCAGTGAGTTGGCAGTGGCATGGGGTGGGTGCCAGGAGAACATCACATTATCCCTGCTATAAGACAAATCTGATGCTTGTGGGTTAGGAGCATTTGTGGTGCTGGAAGTTCTGTGTCCTGCAGTCACTTCAAGAAACGGAGATTTAAACAAATGAGTAACAATGTTTGTTTTAATTTATACTTAATTTTTTCATCATTTTATTACTCTTCTAGCTAGTCTTTATTCTTCATACACAGTTTTTGCTAAAAGGGAGAATGCAGCTTTGTAGCTGTGGTTTCCATTCCCTCCTGTGTCTTCAGTTATTAACTAAATTGAAACCTAGGCTTCAGTTTTGCTTTCAAGAAATGGCACAGATATCATATAACTTATCCACTACTGATTTCAGAAGAATGTTCTTTAGAAATATTGTGTGTTCTAACGTCATTGTTACGTTTTCATCGTTTTTTAAAGGTATGGGCACAATGCAGGAGAAGCTACACATAACGCAGTGGACTCGGCTATCAACGTTGGGGTCACTGCCTACAACATTGACAACATCGGTATCAAAGCCATGGTGAAGAAAACTGCCAAGCAGACGGGACACACTCTCCTTGAGGACTATCAGATCATTGAGAGCCCTCAGAGGGACGGTCAGGGTGGAGCAACAAGCACAGAAGGGAGAAGGGATGTGGAAAAACAGACGGAGGAAGAGAAGCAAGGGGCGAAAAAGAAAGACAAATAACAGGAGTCCTGGGAGTGGCCTGCACCAAAGCCTTACCAGATGGAGGGGTATGGAGTGGATGTGGATTCTCCACAGAAGAACAGCGTCTTCTGCCTGTTTGTTCCTACATGATGACTGTTGGAAGTTTGGGGCATGTATCCACTTACAAGGAAAATAATCAGTATTCTTACATCTGGCTTCTAGACATATGCAGTTTGTAGTCTCAGTAAGTTTATTTTCCCTTAAATGTGGCTAAAATATTTTTGCAGCTAAAATAAAGCTTATAATATATGTGATTTACACCTAATGTCAATCTATTTTTATATGTGCTAGCCTTCAGAAAGCAAAGTAGGAAACTGTACACAATTTCACAGCCACCTGAGTTCTGGTTATACCGGAAAATGACTTAATGTTGATGCTTCTTTTGCACTAATTGTGGATCTTTTGAGATGCCCGACAGGATTTTCAGCATATAAGCTAATCAAAGCTGTGATCTTAAAGTTTGTTCTCAGATAACGTTTTAGAAACAGGGAAGAGCTTGGCCATGAAAGTGCCTTGAAGCTCTGTAATGTTTCTCTTATTTGCTAGCTCTCCTGCCTACTAGGAAACCAAAATGGCCTTGTGATTTAAACTGAAGAAAATATTTCCTTTAAGTCTTTAGGTTGAGGCTAGGAAATTTTTTGATAGAATGATTTTTATTAATTCTTTGAGAAATTTGTACATGCATAAATGTGTTTTGATTGTATCACCCCATACTCCCCAACTCCTCCCAGGTCCACGCCTTACCCCTCCTCCCAACTTCATGTTCTTTTGTGTGTTTTAAATAATCCAATTTGTGCTGCCCATTTGTTCATGGGTGTGGGACCATCCACTGGAGGTTGGTTCATCTACCAGGGACCATGCTCCTCAAGAAAAGTGACATCTTACTCTCCAGAAGCCATCAACTGTCAATAACTCCTGGGGCTTGTGAGACCTTGCCCACTGCAGTCTGGAGTGTTGACTGGTTTGATCCTGTGGAGGTGGCCTTGGCTGCTGTGAGTGGAAGGGTTCTGTCGTATCCAGAAGATGTCAGTTTATCCATGCCTCTTGGACTTCTGACTCTTACAGTCTGCCACTCCTCTTCCTCCATGTTCTCTGAGCTTTATGGGAGGAGTGTGATGTAGACTAGGGAATTCCAAAGTATGGTTATTATTCTATTAAACTTTGAATTGATTGTTACTGCCGTTAAGAAATCACTTTTCCATATCTGCTTCTGTAAATTTTTCCTAAATTTCTAGAATACAAACATTGCACTTACTAAGTGTAATATATCTCCACATAGTCATTAGGATTTATACTAAAAGCCAGGAAGTGATGGGAGGATCTACTCCATACCACAGTAAGGAATATGGAACCCTTTGGTGGGCAGAACACAGGACGGACATTTGCCAGTTTTTTTTTTTTTTTGAGTTACAGATACTGTAATTAAATACTACATGGTATTTTATTTCTATTAATTTCTGTTAATTATTATTTCTATTAAAAGGTTGATGTTGGTTTTTATAGTTTTGCCCTATTGTAATCATTTCTGAACCTGTAGTTGGCTAGCTTATGGATTTCATTTGAAATTGATAATGAATATGCTTTGAGAATAAAATGGTTTCTGAATTGCTGGGCCTCAGATGTATTCACTGGACTTATATTTCAGGAATACAGAACTAATGGGGATTTCTTTTTTTATATATAGGCTAAGGACTATGTATTAGTTGTTGAAATGGATTGGCAAATAGCATCCAGTCAGTCTCTGCTTTGTTCAGGTTTAAGAAACAGAATGGCAAATATAGGACCTTAGTTTAAATAGTTTCTTTAAACCAGGTATCTGCAAGCATGTTCAATTGACAAATCCCACTGGCCACTTGTTTTCAAAAATAAATTCTTATTGTAACAGTTACATTTACTGTTTGCTCATTCACTATGGCTTCTATTTTTTTTATGCTTTTGAGTAAGAAAGCAGCTTTTTAAAGAATATGTGCCTCTCAATATGAAAATATTGACCTCTTTACAGAAAAGCGTACTGACCCCATGTTAGACTAAAGAAGATGACTCTTGCATTTCCATTGAGGCAGCCACACTTCAGACTTGTGAATATGCTCACCAAACCTTACCCAAAGTTGTTGAGGAGCCCCATTATGCAGGCATAGTTAAATTGCTGGCCATTGGAGAGTAACTTTCCATCTTGTATTTATTTCTCTTGAGGTTGTGGGCTCAAAGGATGGAGCCAAAAGTCCCAGCTTTCTCACTACATGGTTAGTTATAGCAACTAGCCCCATATTCTAAGTCATCTCTGTAACATTAAACTCCTCAGGTATGCTTAAGTAGACAGCGAGGAGGAAGGAAACGTGGTTGGAGTGTTAGGAGGTACCTCTCATGTCTAACTATAAGTATAGAGGAAGGGAAAATCCATGATTCAGCCAGCATAATAATGCCTAGCACAGGACACTGAGGAAACACAGCATCCTTGGGGAATCTCGGGGTGGCCATTTTCTTCTAGTTGATATCAGATGCCTTGTCCAAGATGGGTGCAGGGCCCCCAAAACATAGAGCCAGGGAGAAGAGATATTCCAGCATAAACAGGCTTTTAGACAACCCACAAACCATTTATAACCATGAGGTTTACTCGTGAGAGAAATATTTTGCCTGCATGCAGTGCCTGCTGAGACCAGAACAGGGAGTTGGATGGTCCAGCATCCTTAACAAGAGCTGTGTAAAAAATACAAACAAAACGTACTCTTTTTCTATCAAAGAAATAAGGCAAATCTCCATTTTAGAAAAGACGCTAAAAAAAAATCATTTGTCAGAAATCTGAACTCCTCGAGAGTTAGTACTTCTTGAAGTCAAAATAATGTGTTGACAGTTGCCTTGTTCGGTTGCCATTTGTTTATCAGTAAACGTTAGCGTGTGAGTCCAGCTCTGACCACTCAAAATGAGGCACAGGACCTCTTTGTGGTAGGAATGAAAACCCAGTGGAACCTTCACTGGATGTGCTTGTCTACTCATGGACCGGCTACATTCCCTTCTGCCGAGGTGAAACATTCTACCTTGCTGAGGTACTTTGGATTGTGTTGTCGTTTTCTTGGGACCCCGGACCCAGGTCTAACAGCTCAAGTGTTCATTTCTGCTGAGCCATATCTCTAACTCCTCTGATCCGTTCTTATCAGCTGTCTGGATTCGTGAATTTTTATGGGGACAACTCATACACACGGGCAGAACCTATCACCTGCCTGGTAAAAAGATGAGGGAAAAGACAGTGTTAAAACTGAGACGTCTCAAGAGTAGAATGCACGCTGTGATAAGCAGGTCAGTGCACAGAGCTGCCCAAATTCCAAGGCAGAATTTCTTCCCCTGAAGGTTCCCAATCATAGAAGTTCAGACTATCTTTTCAAAGTCTAACCTACTGAGCTGAAGCAAACGAAGGCACTCTTAATCCAGCAACCCTAGGGGGTCAGAATAAGTTGGATGTTCTGGGCACAACCCACTGGATCACAAACCCCGGCCTTGCACGTGGGTTATTCACAAAGGTGATATAGAAAAGGGGCACCCCGCCCTGTTTCACGTCTAGCTCCTATGAGGGCCTGCAGACTTAAGCAACATCCTATGACGTCATGCCATGGCTCCTGGCAACGCTTTTTCCTTTAGGGTTCCTAGGCGAGCCCAGGTCTTAAGCTCTAGGTGGTGCACAGGGGAAGGGCGAGGCGGGAGGTCTTGCGATGGGAGAGGGCCACGGAGACACTTTCGAGGGGGTGAGCACAGACCGCCTGAAGCTGGAGCTGCTGGAGGAGATCCACATGAAGTGAGTGGGCCGAGTGGGCTCCGCCTCTCTGCTAGGCCTCCCACGACCTGAAGGGCAGGAGCTCTGATGGCACTAGGAGGCCCCTTTGTGTGGGAATTAATGCAGGCTTACTAGGCATCCACTCAAAGTGGTGTTTATGGAGAGGTTCTTTGTTTTGTGGGGTAGCGTTCTGGCAATGTTGGGGTTGGGGGTGGTGTACAGCAGATAGATGCGGTGCCCCATGGTGCCTAAAAGGGGGTGTCAGATCCCCTGCAATTGGAGTTATCGGCACTTGTGAGACTCCCTGTGGGTGCTGGGAACTGAACCTGGTTCTCTGTAGGATCTCAGCTCTAAACCGCTTAGCCATCTGTATAGCCCCCACTTACCTTTTATGTTTAATGGAGGCCAAGGGAATACAAGAGTTATCCTGCTTTTGTAGATCAAATATAGAAGAATTGTCTGTTATCCTGAAGAAAATATGAGATCAGTTTCAACGTTTCTGCGAAGTCCATGTTTTTCTGCTCATTTTGAAGAACTTTAGAAACCTGGGCGTTTTGTACAATGAGCTCTGGAACCCTCTATGATTTTTGAGGGAGGCTAGGATGGAGCTGTGGAAGTGTGAGCTTGGGACATTGAGCTGTAGCCTGTGTCTTAAATGCTTTGTGGCGGGGGCGAGGGGAAGCTAGTTTTATCCTGGCTTGGTGACAAACTTATAAACCCAGGTACTCAGGGTAAGAGGGTGTGAGGCTAGAGGACAGTTAGGCTACATGGGATGCTGTTTCAAGACGAGACACGGGCTGGGGATGCCTGAATAGCATAGCATTTGCAAGGCCCTGGATTCAGTTCTTAGTATGGGCAAAAATAATACAGTATTTCATGTTAGGATTTTGAATACTCTGAGGGTTTTGATGTGTGTGTGTGTGTGTGTGTGTGTGTGTGTGTGTTTCTCTGTGTAGCCCTGGCTATCCTGGAACTCACTTTGTAGACCAGGCTGGATTCAGATGCAGAAATCTGCCTGATTCTCTTTCTGAGTGCCTGTCTTTATTCTGAGTGTTTTGAGTAGCTATTCACAGCCCCATTCACAGGCGTCGTGAACAACAGTCCCCTGAAAGTGAGCACTTCAGCTCTTTCCCAGTTGCACACTGTACTAATTGACTATTTCTTAGTCTTGTACTAAACTCAGAGCATTCTTAGTACAGCCTCTGTGTTTCAGAGGCAGTCAAGGTGCAGAACAAGTCTGTGTGAAGTCATATCACAGCTGTCACCCAGGAACTCTAGACCCCAGTATAGCTTCATAGCCTAGCTCATTCAGTCAACATTCAGGGACACTAGCTGCCATCCCTGTGACACGTTCACTGAACTGTGGGTGGTTCCATTTGCTTTTGTTTTGTTTTACATTTGTTGTGTATATGCAGTTGCATATTCACAGTGCAGAGGCACAGGTCTGAGGTCAGAGGTCAGAGGTCTGAGGACAGGCTAGTTGGTTCCCTTCTCCCACCATGTGGTTTGCAGGGATCAAGCTCAGGTTGGGTGGCTTTGTAGCAAGTGTCTTCTGCTGCTGAGCCATCTTGACAGCCCTGTGCTGCCTCTGGATTGGATATTCACGCATGGGCATTTGGAAATAACTGCTGGATGGACGATTCTCTCATCATCCTGGATTGCAGCAACGGGCGGTTCACTCATGTCCCGAGTGAGCTCTGGGGTGCTTTTGACTTTTTTTTTCTCTGAGTGCTTTATTAGTTCCTCCCACATCTGTGTTTGGTGTTCTGTGCTGTTACCTATCACTATAGCTAGTCTCCATGCTAATATTTAGCTGGTTCCTAAGAAGCATGTAACAGTGTCATTAAGCACAGGCACACACTGGTTGCAGGAGATTCTGGACTTTGGTGCATTTTACTTGATTTTGATTTTCCCTGCACCTGATTCTCAGTTGTACCTCCCACAAAGGATCTTTCAAAGTAATTTGCTCCTGAAGTATTGCTATATGTTATTTTCCTCACATTGTCTTCAATTGGATTCTTATTAACAAAACTCTTCTGATAACAGGGATGTCGTGCAGCTCTCCACACTTGAGATACGGCATAAGATAGCAGAGCTGGAGGCCAACCTCAGCAGTGACCTTGCAGGTATGCGGTGGATGGTTACGAGTGGGACTCCTGCCTGGTGTCAGTGTGGGTGAAATGACTCATACTGAGAAATAGTGCCAAGCTTTCAGTGCTGCTTCTGATGATCCGGCAGTTTACAATGAAGGCTTTCGTAGACCACTTAAGAATGCTAAGCCTCAGACTGTATATTTTTCTACCTTGTAAGCTCTGGGTATTCATCCATACACAAAGTTTAGTTATGCGACATCAGTAAGTAATTTGCTTTGTAATAAAATATCACAAGTCTATTTAATCAACTCACAGCCTTTTGTGTCTTATTGGAAATGGAATATAACTAAAATCGGGACATGGCTGTTTTAATAGGAAGAATATGAGAAGAGGGAAGGGCTCTCTCTCTTTCTCTCTCTCTCTCTCTCTCACACACACACACACACACAGTTCTTTAAAATTTGTCACATAGTCAATCTATGAACACACAAATATTGACCAAGATCCTGTCATGTGCCAATATTTTGAAGGACTTTTGTTTCTTCCATTCAGAAGAAGTTGACCTGATGATCGGGAGAAAAGTTCAGACTAAAATCTCCATGTAAGGATTCTGTGTGAGCAGAGATGGGAAGTGGGCATGTGTGAGACCCTTGGAGGCATCAAGTGCTTGAACCCAAGGCTTTTGTTAGGTTTTAAAGCCAGTTTTACACCTCTATTCCTCTTGGAGAGCCATAAACAAATGGACCGATAGCCAGATCTGTGGTAAAATGCAGTTCTGTAAGTAAGTAACCAACGGTCATAGTTAGTCTTCGTCAACTTGACAGAAACCCAGATATAACTCAGTAGAAGGAACTTCAATGGAGGAATTGCCTCCATCAGATTGGCCTGTAGACGTGTCTGTGGACATTTTCCTGATCGCTGACTGACTTGGGAGAGCTTTGCCCACTGTGAGCAGTGCCATTCCCATGCAAGTGGTCTTGGACATGAACAAGAAAGGTACCTGAGGAATCCAGAGGGACCAAGCAAGGAAAGAGTGTTCTTCCATGGTGGTTTTTGCTTCACGCTCCTGAGTGCCAGCCCTGCCTTCCCTCAGTAGCTGTGAGTTGAGTCCTATGTTGAAACGAACCCTTCCCCAATTCACTTTTGGTCATGGAGGTTTATCATAGCAATGAGAAGCAAATTAAAACAGCAAAACCCTATTAAAGACTAATTGGAGAACATTATTTTAGCTAAGGCTATGATGGTCACTGCTAACCTCCAGATGTATATGCTATTACCGGGCCTGTAGGAGCAGTCACTAGCCTCACTCACTCAGTTACATGAGCTAGGGTGTCCTCAAGGATCTTTCTAGGCATGGGAAATGTAGAAGGCATGCTGGAAATGAACAAGGTTGTGCGATACCGAAGCCCATTGGTAAGACTTTGCTGAATGAAGTGTTAAGAGCTGTCTTGGGAGGATTGAGGATGAGATACAAAGAACCTATGTCATGGTGCCAGGAGCGCTGCAGACCTTGGTCTGAAGTATAAAGTGAATGGTGTAAATAGCTCCCACCCATGTTTACTGGGTCTGGAAACTGGAACGGACCGTTGTTATTCTCCCCAATTATTAAAAAAAAACGGAATTGAAGAATTTCAATTACTTCTCAGGTCACACAGTTGATTGTGACAAAAAACCTGGCTATCGTTACTGCTTCTGCCGCATTTGTACTTAACATACCAGCACACAGGACAATTCTGGTTAGTGCTACCGTGTAGCAGATGGCTGGGTTGGCTGGGTCCCTGTGGTTACAGCCCAGTGCCGCCTGGGGGTCAGTAAAGGTTCCGATGAGCTGGTGATTCAGGATGACTTATGCAAGTAGCTGGAGTCTGATGCTGAAGCCCAGCTGGGTTATCCATCAGGGCTACTCTTGTCTTCTACTCTCTCACAGAGTACGACCCTGAGCAAGCATTCTAAATGCCAGGAGTAAAACTGCTGGGAGAGGAAGAGGATACTTAGGGGACGATGTGTGGTGAATACAGTCATGAGTTCAAGGGATGGAGACAGGCACCCTGTTGTAATCATATTGCAGGCTGGGGTTGGAGCTTAATAGCAGAGCATTAGCAACCTTGAGCTCAACCAGTATCAAAGGGAAGGTCACATTTCACTGTGACCCATGTGAGATGGCTGAGAGATAGCTCTTCCAGAGGACCCAAGTTTAAATCCCAGCACCCATATGATGTAGCTCCAACCACCTGTGTAATGATAATCCCAAGGGATTAAACAGCCTCTTCTGGCTTCCTCATTTACCTACATGCATATGAAATACACAAACACACACACCTAATAAATAAAAATGCATATTAGTTTGCCATGGGATCCTAAGCACAAAGCCATTCAGCATGAATTCGGAGTAACCAGGAGGGTGCCACAGCCTGCAGTAAGAATGCAGTAGGGTGTGAGGCTGAGGTTCATGAAGGAGACACATTATGAAGACTGCCCGTACACTAACAAATCCGTATTTATCCTGATGGCAGTGTTAAAGCTTCCAATTTGATTGCTATGCTAACCTTATAAAGTTATGGTAACTATTAGCAAGGATGGTTACAATCACAGGCTCATGAATTCCGACATCCTCTCCAGTCCTCAGAAAGAACCCTTACCACCTCTCTCCCATGCTCACTTTCAACTGGTTACCTTCTTCTTCCAGAGAGAAAGAGCAATCCCCAAAGACTTCTAACACCACCGAAGCTTCTCGCTTCACTGGATCTGATTCCTCCTCTCCCACTCTGCTTCTTGGTGGCCTGGTCTCAGCCAGGTGTAAGTCCCATCTACTCGCTCTGGTCAGTGATGCTACTCCAGAGGTAGGCCCCTCCCTTTGTCTCTTCCTGGCTTCTCCCATCATCCCCAGTGCATGCTGCAATGCTGATATGGTGAATTCACTTTGTCTGAAAGATACCAAAAGATGGATCCATCTCTTCAGCTGATTTCCACCTACGTTCCACTTGTGCAGTAACACATTTCACAAAACAGTGGTTTTCTGAGTCCTCCTCTTTCTTATCTGTCTCTTATTGCATCGAATCTGTTTTGTAAGTGGATTAATTTACAGGTGAGAGAGCAAACACAACCAGTTTCGAAACAGGCCCCTTGAAGCTCTTTGGCACTGGGAGGCATCTATGTGCAAGAAAATGTGGTTTTGTGTAGTAGCTGAATCTGAATTTCACCTCAAACCTCAGCAAGAAGACAATAGGAAAGACGTTTCGTCTTCAGTTTTGTTTTGTTTTGGTCTTTTTTACCTGGAGACAGAAGCTTTGGCCTGCTGAGGCTTAGGGACAGTTTCCCCTATTGGGGACTGTGGTGGGAAACAGCTAGGTTTGCACAGTAAGGCCTGATTGCCTCCTGCACAATTGCACTCACTAGTCAGGAGAGTTGCCTGGAGCTCTTCTTCGGGGTCACTAGTGATGCCCTGTGTGCTACGCCAAGACTCAGGCGTCCTCACCCTTGGCCTGTGCCCAGCATTGATTAGAAACTTACCTTTGAAACTATTCTCCTGGCCTCTCAGTTGTCCTATGTACTGAGCACTTGACGTTTCTCTTCATACAGATTTCTAAAATGAAAAAAAAAAAAAACCAACCAAGCCAAACAAGCAAAAACAAAGAACTTGGAATGCCTCAGTGTTCAGTCCTTTCTTCTTTAATATGTACACCATGTTGGGTAATAATTTTCTGGTCACGTTGGGTCAATGCCATCCTGTATTGATAACAGGCCTCTACCCTGAAGCCTCCCCTTTGAGCTCCATTGAATTTTCATTTATAGTTGGTTTTAATTCAGAGCCCCTTTGGTTATCAGGCCAAGTTATTAAGGGATCAAACAGTTTTAGAGTGGCCTTAGTAGTATATGCTGAAGTGTTTTCATAAAATTCAAGTTTTATCATTTCAAAACTCAGAAAAGAATATTAGTGATCTCAACTTGGCCTAATACTTAAAGGTGTGGTATTAGAGGGAATTGCATTATTTCTTATGGAAAAACAAAAACCACAGATGCTGAATGCCATCATTAAGATAGCATCTGCTTAAAAGTTGTAACCAAGCTCCTCCCCCAAAAAATGCCAAAAAGAAATGAGTGTAATTATTAATTAAGAAGAAAGAATTATTACAGTTTTCAGTTTGATGATTTGCTATCTAGGGTTTGCCATGTGATCAGTGAATGCTGGGATACACACACACACACACACACACACACACACACACACACACACACAATTGCCCTGATCAGACTAAGCCAACTGAGATCTACCCTAGCCAGGGGCAGTTGCCAGGGTCTGCCTGTGAGAGCAGCATTGGCTGTTGTTAGAAGGCCTTGGGGATTTGGCTGGGAAGTGTAGAGGCGCACAACTTGGAACAAATTGCTTGATCAGCATTTCCCTTCAAACTGATGAAAAACTCCATCAGCCATAGAGTTGAGGACCTGACGGCTTCAGCTATGTGCACGTGTTTCTCGGCCTGTGTTCCAGTGGTGCTCAACCTGTGGGTCTCAACCCTTTGGGAGTCAAACGACCCTTTCACAGGGATCACAATATCGGATATCCTACATATCAGAGATTTACTGTTATGATTCATGACAATAGCAAAATTACAGTTATGAAGTAGCAATGAAATATTTATGGTTGGGGGGTCCCCACAACATGAGGAACTGTATTAAAAGGTCGCAGCATCAGGAAGGTTGAGAACCGCTGCTCTGTTCTATTCCATAGTTCCATGTCTGCCTTTGTGCCAATACCATGCAGTTTTTAAGGGCTGTATAGTACAATGTGAAGCTTGTCTTATACCTCCGGCTTTACTCTTCCCACTTAAAATCGCTGTGGCTCAGGAGCCTTTTATGCTTCCATATGAATTTTCACTGTTTTCTCTACTCACACAAAGACTTCCCTTGGAATTTTGATAGGGATTGGGTTGTGTCTGCAGATCATTTTTATAAAATCTACAATATTAATTCTGCCAGCTGTGAGCATCGGAGGACTTCCGGTGTGTCCTTTTGTCTTAGAGCTCTCACTGTAGCAGTCTCTCCTCCGAGTTAAATTCATTCCTAGGATCTCTGTTTTCTTTTGTTCTTGAAGTTACTGTGAATGTCTTTTTTTTCCCCTTTTAACTGATTTATTTTCCAGCAAGTTCATGACCACTAACTAGAAATGTCATGACTTTATGTGTTGACTTTGTTTCCTGCTGCTTTGGTGAACTGTTTGTTGTGTCTAGCATCCACCCTATCAGCAGCGGTGGTCCTCTGACCTCTCCCTCTCCCTCTCTGCATCTTTAACCGTGTTCCAGCTAGGGCTTTGGGCCCTTTGTTAAATAAGAATAGAGGGAGGGAGCTGTCTGTGCCTGCTTGTAGAGGAGATGCTTTCAGTTTTTCTGCATTCAGCACAATGTTGTCTGTATGCTTTATTGTGTTGAAAAATGTTCTATTGGTGGTTTCTTCTGTGCTAACATGAGGGGATGTTTTGCTTTGTCAGTGGTTTTTCCTGTATCTATTGACATGATCGTGTGATTTCTGTTCTTCAGTCAGGGTTGTATTGCACTCGATGATTTACATATGTTGGTCATATGTTAATAATCTCATTTCTTACCCCTGAATCTAGTGTAATATCCTTTGACTATGAAGTAAAATTTTGTAATACATTCCCACCAGATGCCTAGCTTCCATCAATCCAAAAGCCGAGAATGTGACCAGACAGCATCCAAGGCTACCATAGAATTCACCCTACTTTTCTATACCATACCTATCCATAGACATACCAGTATATTAGGTAAATGGCTTAAGTTATGACTTTCTCAGTTCTGTAACTAATAGTCGTATGCAAACACATCTATGTCAGGATGTGATATTTGGGGCTACTTGAACCCATTCTCCTGGGCTGTGGTCACTTGTATTTAAGTAAGAATGAACCCTCTTATGCTTTTTGAGGGGAGATCTATGTCTTGTATTCATAGTGGCATATTATTAAACTGATGAACTGTACTCATATGTTAAGAGTAATATTTAAAATGGTGGCACCCAATCTGTCTTGTTGTTAAGGGGCCACCATGTTCCCAACTAGGCAAGGCCTGAGGCCATGAGCGAGCACGCAGCCACTGCTCAGCTCAGGCTACCCGCTCAAGCAGGCCAGAAGCACCAGCCCTGCTACCCACGACACGCCAGCGTGGGAGATGGCTCTGCCAATTTACCATGCTGTCTCCACAATGCTTGGCTGAGCCCAGACCATCCCACCATCCATGTGGTACCCAGTAGAAGTGAGATTCTAATGTTTAAAGATTATCCAATGGCTTTATATGTTTGGTAATGCTCAATTAACAAGATGCCCACACAATTAGAGGTGTTACCCAGTACCTAACCTAGATATTACAACTACCTTAGACTGTTAGAGACACGCGCACATCTGCTGCCATCTTCCCCTCTCTCCTCCAGTCCTCTTCCTCCTCTTCCTTCCCCTTCCTTTTTCTGCTCCTCCCACATCAGCTCCTCCCATACAATGTAGCAGCCATAGGAAACCATTCTGCTACATTCATATAAATACAAAATTAATTATTTTGATAGCATTCTTATCTATAAAGCTTCTGTTGTCATGGTGCAAGTAGGGAAAGATGGCTTCAGTTACATGGTCAGAGATAAAATTGCATCTACTTTGGGTCAGTGGTGTCTCTTGAAAGTGTGTTTAATAATTTAGGGCATCTTTCTTCTTCTTCCATGATGAATTTGGTGTAGTGCCTCTGCGCTTCAGCTTGGGAGGATGTGCATCCTAGCGTTGGAAGGCTGCCTGTGCCTAGCAGCACAGATGCAGATGCAGAGTGCAGGCTGTGTCCTGGTAACAAGGTCCGGTCTGTAGAGGTGTTTGTCTGCTCTTTCACTCATTCCCCTCAGATCTCAGGACTGTTGGGGTTCTGGGCTTCAGCTCAGTGTGTTAAAGAGAAGGGGAAAATAACCCACTACTTTTCTCTCTTTTTAAAAAGCCCAACTTCAAGGTGCTGGGCCATGGCATTGGACAAGGAGCTTTCAGCTCTAGGCTATGTTTATCTACATCATTTCTTACCTCTACTTCTGCATCCATCATTTGTCTGTCTGTCTGCTTGTTTTTGAGAAGGTCTTGCTTTGTAGCCTTACCTGGTCCTGTACCCACAGTGTGGCAGGTCTAGCTTCAGACTCTCAGTCTCCCAAGCACAGGGCTACAAATGTGTGCCATCGTGACCAGCATTAGCTCTTACATCTTAGAGAATGTTCTTCAATCTTTCCAAACCTTGATCTCCTCATTAGGAGAATAACTTTTCAAATATGAGCACTGCATCAGTTAACACCGAAGTTTTCCCTGAAGCGAGTACGTAAGTGGTAAGACCAGATTCAGACATTGAATGGGATACTGGTACTATTTGTTAGGGTGTTGTGTGGATGTTTCAAGGGAAGAGACAGGCTCCTGATACCATCCTCCCACCCCTAGTAGAATATACTATAAGGAAACAGAAAATGAAGGACAAACAGTGGCAGAAAACAAAGAAGAGCAAGATGTACAGGCGACACAGAGGCTGTCCTGACTTCTGGCTAAGAGGTAGCATGAGGGTGGGTCTAATCCTGGCAGTTGAGGAAATTGTATCTTAGAGATAAATGCTTCAAAATGATCTATTTCTCATTCACTCGCATTGCTAATGAAGTCAGGTAGTGACAACCTACGACTGAGTTGGTTCGTATGTTACTGTATATGTATATGTGTGTACATGTGGTGCAGGGGTGGGTACTGGTGCACATAGGTTGTGTGTACATGTGAGCGATGGAGGCCAATATATGTGTCTTCCTTGATCATACGCCATCTTTACTTATTTGCTATTTTTTTTTAAAGACAGGGTCTCTTAAGTCAGATCTCTTACCAGAGGTCACTGACTCAGTATGTGCGTGGAGTGGGGAGGGGGTCAAAGGGAAACCTGCTTTAAGGATAAAAGAGAAAGAGTCTGTCTCTGCCCCTCCCCCAGCTCTGAGGTCACAGAAACCCTTCTCTAACCTCATCACGTTTATGTGTGTGCTGAGATCTGAACTCAGGTCCTTATGTGGCATTGCCTGAACCATTTCCCAGCCCTGATTTGTATTGTTTTAATGAACAAATAAGTGGCATTGGGGGTGATCTCTTTCCCCATTTTTATCCAGGCAGTGAGTGGAAAACCCGGTATGAGACCCAGCTGGAGCTGAATGATCAATTGGAAAAACAAATCGTGTCTCTGAAAGAGAAAATGGAAAAGGTCCGTGGGAACCCTTCAGGTACAGAACCTTCAGTCCATGTGCAGTGGGGCTGAGGAGGAGCTACGGAAATATCAACTGTTCCTTTTGCTTTTTTTTTTTTTTTTGCAGATAGACTGTCTTCCATTCGTGTCTATGAGAGGATGCCGTTGGTGAGTAGAGGGGCCTAAGTGAAAAGAATCACCCAGAGAAAGTTGTACACAAGCGTCAAGGCTTCTGCAAAACCCGAATAAAGTTCAGGGGAGCTGGACAAGGACCAAGGCCTTTGGCCTAGTCTGTCCCATAAAAGCCTGGCCAGGATAGAAAACAGAGACAAACGTAATAGAGTGAAAAATAGTCAGGCTGGCTAAGACCTCGAAGGATACGTATCTGCTTCTCACAATCTGAAGAAGCCTGTTGAGCACCGAGTACCTTCTCCATTTCTAAAGTGTGTGTGTTCTGTTTCCACCTTAACACAAAATGTGCAGACAGAGGTGTGTACACAAGAGCACACACTGATACACAACACACACAAATCAGCACAGCTACCAGGTCTGCCCGACCTTGAAACAGAGCTTCACAGACCCCTGTCATCCCTTCTTCTCAGTGTTGTCTGTTAACATCCTCTGCCTCTTTAGTGTTCCTTCACATCCCAGGTACATTCACATAGTTTATTCTTTAATAAAGCATGTGTGTTTATCCTTGTGAATTTATCCTTGAAAGGAGAGTAAGAAAGTCTCAAGATATGACTTATGAAGAGTCCTCACTGCTGAAAGACAGACTTTCCTCTGAGCCTGTGCTGAATTTTTACTTGAAAAATAACTCAGAAAAACATAAGTGATATTCCAAAAGGCAAAAGGTACTGGGGGGGGGGGGAGAATATTAGTGTAATTCTCAGCTGGATTTGCAGAATCCAGTATTGTAATAGTAATTTGTCTTTAATTAAACATACAAGGTACATAAATGACTCTCCTTTATGTAAGTCTCAAGACACTGAGTGAGATGAAGCTAAATGCCCCTGATAGCAGGTGATTCCGAGTGTAAAGAGAGGCAGGGTTTGCCCAGGTCCACCAAGCCTAACGTGGAGCCAGCCTCATTCTTACGCTCTCCCGTTCCGCCACACAGTGCCCCTGCTCTCAGAACTAACACGAGTGTTTTGAGCAGCTAGAGACAGAGCGATAAGCACATTTACAGGGCCCTAGGGACCGGTGAATTTATGGATGTTTTTCGAGTAACTGCCGTTCCTTAGTGAACAATACAAAGAAACCTCTCATTTTTGTTAATGACAAATTGAGGAAAAATTAGTCTGTTTGCCTGCATTTCTGTTACCTATGACCTAGAGTACTCAAATGTCTTGGAAGGTCAGGAAAATACCCCTCCTCCCTCTCTGAAATTGGAAAAACCAGATTTTCCTCTCCTCTGGTGGCTCACACCGCCATCTTGTGGCACTTTGAGGCATGGCTGCTACAGCGGTTGTAAGAGCCATCCTTAGTTACAGGTAGGAGGAATTTAACAGGACCTGTGTAGTGTGACCTTTAAAGTACTCCTTACGGAAGCAAACTCGTTGGTTACCTGACTCTTCATGCCAGGACTTTGCCCTCAGTACGACTCTGTAGTTCATAAAAGGGACATTTAATATTTAAGTATTTCTTCTTAGTAACATAGAGAAAAAGGTTTCTGAGCATCAGGGATTGGGAGTCTAGCAACAAGGAATAAGAAACAAGGTCCATGTTCATGGAATTGTGTCACCAAGGACTGAGCAGCAAGCACTGGGACCTTAGTGCTGTTGACTCAGTCTCTAGATCACCCATCCCTAAGGAACAAAGACACTCTGTCTTAGTTTTCAGAAGAAAGGACAGAATGTGTGTTGCTCAGATATGTAATACTTATAGATATTTTTTTCAATTTTCCCTTTAGGTTGACAGAGTCAATGATTAAAATAAGTTTCATGGGTCAGACTATGAATATACAACATCTCAAAATTTCTGACTTTAAAAAAGATTTATTTATTATTTATTTTTATGTATGAGTGTGTGTCTGCATGAGTTCACAGGCATCATGTGTGTGCAGTGCCTGAAAGAGGTAAGAGGGCATTGGATTCCCTGGAGTTGGAGTTCTGGGAACTTGTGAGCCTCCTGATGTGCATGCTGGGAACCAGACTCAAGTCTTCTACTCTAGCAAGAAGTACTTTTCACAGCCAAACGTCTCTCCAGTTCCCCCTCCTAGTTTGTCTCTGTCTTTGTTATAAATCATCAGTCTTTAAGTGCAACTTCCACCCACATACTCACAACTTGATGTCAGTTAGTTTGAATGCTAACTTTGTTTCTACGACCCTATTAACAAGCAAATTCACGTATTGTATAAAGTATATTAAGTTGACTTGCCAACTATATCATGAAAAGATGAATGAAGGAATCTTGGGTTATGGAAAGCAGGATGTAGAATTCCCATTGTCCACCTGGCTGTGGTGGACCTGAGATCGATCCATGTAGCATATAATTTGCATCCTCCCCAAAGATCAAAGCAGTTTACTTGAAAGCAGGTGTATAGCTTCAAACCAGAGAGAAAAGTTAACCAATGTGCTCTATATTGTAATAATCAAGTTCGTCCACAAGGGGGCACTTGTAATGTCAGCGTGAAGAATCTTCCAGGGCTGGTGGTGTCTGGGGTTAACTAAGCCATATTGTTGTTTCACTCTCTTAAAAGCTCCAGCGGGATGTTTTAATTTGTAGCTAGTTCCCACTCCTGCCTGATATTGCTGTTGTTGAATTCCTTAATACAACAATTAACATTATTTTTGAGGAAAAAAAAGTAGGTGACTGTTAGGGCTTCCTTTCTGTCTGGGATAGAAGTAGACTTCCCCCACCCCTTACTTAAATCCTAAGTATATTTTACTTCAGGTATGCAAACACAGCCCTGCAATGCAACTTTTTCAAAGCAAATTAAAACAAGATATGTAGATAAAAACTGCCCAATTAGAATGCTAAGAAGCAACTGTTGTTGAAAACAGTTCTTCACAGAAGCAGTATGAAATCCCGGCGTCCGTTTTGAGAATTTCGTTTCTAGGAGACTCCTTGCTTTAGTTTGTCTTCACTGGACAGCTTTCTGGCCTGTGACCATTGATTTCTGCAAACAGATACACACTGGCTTGGAAAGATCAGAAACATTTCAGTAAGTTCATTTCAGAAAGATCAGTGCCTCCTCTGGATGTGGGGACAGGTCTACCCCACTGATAAAATCACTTTCCAAATACCCAGTTTAGTAAGTCTGCCATCAGGAAAACAAAGAATCAAAATCCTGAATGGACCCTATCTTTATCTTAGAATAATTTAGTACTTTTAACAGTTTTCTTTTGCTGAATACAGTAATTATTCTGTACTTGTCTAGACTCTAGGGTATTTTGATGACGACGGTATTCTAGAGAAATCCAGAATGAGTTCTTGGTTTCTCCAATGCATAACTAATTTTGATGGTGGTCTAATTCCCACCAGATTGCCAAGCAAAGCTTCATGTCTGAGCTATACTGTCATTTTAAAGCACTGTGTGTGTGTGTGTGTGTGTGTGTGTGTGTGTGTGTGTGTCTGCACATGTGTGAGAGAGAGGGGATGAAGCTCATAGCAGGTGGAGGAAGGAAAACAAGACGCAGCCCAGGAATCGTGGCCACTCAGCTGGAGCCATTTTGTGTACAGTGCTGAGGCCCGCCAGAGGACATGGATGCCTTGTTCTGTGTGAACTCACCAGGCAAGCGACAGGAGATGCTAATGACGAAAGGACAGAGTCTAGAACTGATCCGAAGCTGCTGGTTAGCATGGGGGATGAGTACACCGTCAGACAGAGAAAGCAGTATGATTCCTACGCTCAGACAGCAGGCCAGGTGGTTAATCTCAAGCTTGATTTATTTAGGGAGTCATAGTTTGAATGTAAATTGTCCCCTGTGACTGAAATGGCAGCACTGCTGTGCTTCTCAGATGTGTCTGAATAGAACGTTCTATTTTAGCCAGCACTCTGCTGTGGAGCAAGTGAGGAAGGCAGAGGCAGAACAGTGTGCGTCTGGAGCCTGGGCTCTTCAAACATTTTTTTTTTTTAAATTTTAGTGGAAGACTGTAGTTTATCACTTTTGTATACCCTCTCATAACAAGTGTGTACTCTTGTTTTTTTTTTTTGTATTAAAAATTCACAATCTATTGTCATCTAGTCCAAACCAACAGCTAATGTAAAACTGAAAAACCATGCGTAGTGGTTTATGACAATGAGTGTATTAGGATACAAACCGCGTAAGTGAAACCATAATGTTGGTTTGGAGAAACTGAGCTTGAAGTGTCAAATAAAGATTGAGAACAGACACCCAGGGCTCTGCTTTTAGATTTGGATATGACATCAGACAGCACAGAAATGACAGCTGACGCTACAAGCAAATGGCTGAGCTGGCTGGAGGCTGAAACTTCACAGGCAAGAGATGTAAGGAAGACTACAGCTGGAGGCATGGTAGTTTGTACGGCACCGTTGAAGAAGGGTCAACAGGGTGCTGAGAGGGACAGCAGTTGGTAAGGCGAGCAGCCTTGGCTGTGGGGACTTGGCAGCCGCAGGTATGGAAGAGGTAGGGTGTGGCAGTGAGCGCTGGTCACTCAGGACACAGTGTTACCTCGTGTCGCAGGTACACTTCCCTTCAGCTGGGAGTCTGTTTTCAGGGTCAAAATGCCATTTATAGTGTGAATCTCAGAGCTTTACGAGTAGAAGGTGAGAGTGAAACACAGCACTGAGAAAAGAACTGTGCACTTCTAAGAAGCAGAGCTTAACTCTCACCAGTGCTCCCCGCCCCTGCACCCCCGCCCCCAGCCCCTACACTTAGAAAACTTGGGCCAGGTGAAAAAGGTTGTTCGGTTAACAAAGGAAACATGATGGTCCAGGCAGCATGCCTCTGACTCCTCAGTCAGAAGATTGTTTGATGGAGGACCTTAGGAGCTTGACTTTGACTCCATCCAGGCCACACTTGACAAGGTCTGCTTTCCGACCTTGAGCCCTGGCAGCAGAAAGATAAAGGCAGAGCTATTCCTGGCATAGATGGGATTCCATTGTTGGCTGATTGGGCTTAGGTTTTCTTCTGAGTTGTTTTGTAGGCTGCAAAACACACTAGGGCATATCTGCTTCCAGCCAAGCTTCTTGGCCTACGTTGTGGCGAGCCCATGAGGTCGTTCTCCCAGTCTCCTGCTTCTCTCTCCCCTCATCTTCACATGGGCATCCCTGCTCTTTGCACTTTTAATCCAACCTTGGCATCAACTTCTCAGAGGACTAGGTATGAAACTAGTGGCACTGGAAGTGATCTAAGGAAGCAGGAAGGCAGGGCATGTCTGTCTGGGCCACTGTGTAGCAGGCTGATATGTCCTGATTGGTGACTACAACTCCAGTTGGTCTGTCCAAGGTGGCAGTTTACTTTCTAAGGCCTGATCATGGCCTTAGGATGTGCCCTAACGTATGGGATACTGTAGAAGAAGCCATGAGGCAGGGTTTTGGGAATACAGGGTTGCTAATAAGTTGCACTGCAGCGTGCATTAGGATAAGGAGACACGGAACTGTTGATGAACAAGACCAGATAGCATTTGAAGAAGCTCTCAGGAACCCTCTGTCCCCACAGCAGGAGAGAAAACACAGTAGGACACGGGCTGAAGTCCACTCTGTGAGAAGCATGTGAGTGTCCAGGCCAGATGGATCTGTTTTGTGCAGGACAAGGCCCTAATAGGGATGCCAGAAATCCCAGAACTGTGACAGTACCTCTTGAGAGGTACCACTGAGGCTGCAAGGTGCAGCTCCTCCTCTACCTCAGAGGCCTGAAAGTGGCCTTATTGGGGCTGGAGCCCAGTGTTACTAGGATACTAGTGTTTCTTGGCAGATCTAAATGATGCGTTTTAATCATATGCTTCTCTGACTCTTTAATGTGTATAGTCTTATTGATCTCGGTCACCACAATCTGCTTCATTCCCTCCTCTTTCACGGGAGAGGAGCCTTCAGCTTTTCTCTCTGTGGGGATGCCTAGTGTCTCTGGTAGTTTACACTAGTGTAAGGCATGAAGAATACAGTTAGCAGAGGACATGTAGTCACTGCCTGTACCGTGTTGTTACTGTTGCAGCAGTCATGTGACAGACAAGGTCAGCATGGGTGATTCTGGGCACTAGCTTACCCGGACTCTGATTCCAGCACTCCCATTGGTCAGGGCCATACCTTTGGGATAATTATGTAACCCCCGTGGCTGCAATTTTCTCTACATTAAATAGAAAGACAGGCTATCTCATGATTTGTAATGCAAATCAAATGAAGTCATAAGGAAAAGAGATATATTTTGACTTCTCTTTGGATCTTATAAACCTTTACTTTTTCCTAGAAACTTCTGTGCAGAGACACAATTCTGAGTCTTAGTCCAATCTTGGAGACCTTAGGACAACAGATCTAATTCTGAAATAAATCAAGAAGGTGTTTAATGTAATTCACCACACAGACCTCAAAATATGACAGCTATTCTATATATGATTGCTATTACCTTTTAGGTCTATCTTGTACCTTACTGATACAAATTGGTATAGTTATGCTCTAATTGTATATTGAGATAACAGTTTTATTTTAACAGGAAGGGTGATATGTAGGAGGAACTAAGGTGGGAGGAGTCAGGAGAGGAAGAGGAGGAGTAAGGAGAGGAGGAGGAGAATGAAAGGAGGAGCTAGAAGACGAGGGGATGGGGAACACGGAGGCGGATGTTCGTGGGTCTCCACCAGTCAAAGATAGTTGGTATATCTAGGTTGGGTATTGGGTTACACTTCTAATTGTATGGGCATCTTGTTATTGAGCATTACCAAACTTATAAAGCCTTTGATTAACATTTTAAAAATAAGTTACTAATAAAAAAAAAAGGATGAGGAGGGAGGGTGATGGAATACATGTGACAGGAAATCAGATGAGGAAACTAGCTGGAGGAAGAAAGGGAAGAGGCAGAGGGAAACCAATCAGAACTCTAATGACACATGTATGAGGATGCTGTAATAAAACCCAGTACTTTGTATGTTAACTTAAAATACTAATAAAGAAAAAAAAAGCAAGAAGAAGGAGGGGGGATAGGATAGGGGCTTTCTAGGGGAGGGATGGGGAAGGGATGACATCTGAAATGTAAATAAATAAAATATCCAATAAAAAAAGAAATACAGAAAAACAAGAAAAGAATCCCTAGTACAGTTCATGGACTCCCAGTTGCCATTGGCTCTAGGCAGCCATTCCCTGGGGGAGATTTTAATGATTTTTAATTGTTGCTAAGAACCACAAATACATATAACTCTCTGTTCATATTTCCAGGAATCTTTAAACGTATTACTTAAACAACTAGAAAAAGAAAAAAGGAGTCTTGAAAATCAAGTGAAAGACTATGCACTTAAACTGGAGCAGGAGTCAAAGGTTGGTTTAATTCCACCTGAAGTGGGGTTCTTCGGGCTGCCATTTATTTCTAGTATTTTCTAATTAAAAAAAACTTTTTATGTTTTTTTTGTGCATTTCACATCATGTACCCCAAATTTCACTCATCTCCCCATGCCCTCATACTGGCCCTCTGCCTTTGCCACCTATCCCACCAAAGAAAAGAAAATCTCATTGTGAAAGCTGTAGTGTGTCCCAGTGTGTCACACAGCATACCCCTTGTCCATACTTCTTTGTTTGCAAGTGTTCATTGCAATGAGTCATTGGTCTGGTTCGAGGCCTCTGGCTTCTGCTATACTGTCAATACTGGAACCTTACTGGGACTCCTCTCAGATCTTTTCTTGTTGTCATGGAGATCCTGGAGCTTTGGATCTGCAGGACCAGTACCTTCATGTGCTCCAGCAGTTCACCAATGGGGTAGTGGGTCTGTGCCTGGGAGGTCTCTGAGCTGGTCAGCCTGCCAGCTGTCCCTCACCCACACTACCAGGGTGAGCTCTCCAATCCTGTCCCAGCTAGCTCATCATTACCACAGCCTGCAAAGAGCAAAGCCAGCTCTCCTGCTCTCGTGCCCTCAGGGCCACCCTCTCACCCCATCTCCATCCCCAAGCCCCTACTTCTACCTATGCCAGCAAGGCTAGCTCTACTGTGCTGTCCAGGTGAGGCACAGGGTCTGCTCTCCCAAGTGTTGCAGCCAGTGAGGGACAGGGCCAGTTCTTCCTTTTTCATGACCCTGGGGCCAGCTCTCCCATGATGTCCAGGTCAGAGGTGGGACCAGTTCTGCACAGCCCCCAGGCATTGACATGGCCCTAGGCAGCAGCCCAAACTAGGGAAGCCCGCCTTGCCTTTGGTGGTAACACCCCCACCTCCCACCCCCTGCTGCAGGGCCATGGACCCAGACATAGCACTTAGTGGAGCACAGGCCAGGACCTTACCATGGCCTTACGTAGCAGCACTGGCTACTCACATCAGGTTGTTCCTCACTACGCTTGAGTCCCCAGTTCTGTCTGTCTTCACCATGCACACATCTTTCTGCTTCTCTATCTCTTCCACTTCTCTACCACTTACTTGCTCATCCTGGTGATGCCTGGGGCCTCTGGGTGTCTGAGGTCATCTCAGGAGTGGTCTCAGGAGTCCTATGCCTGCTTGTGAAGTGTAATATCATGCAGGGGTCTTCCTTCCCAGGCTGCGTGGCACCAGGCGGGAGTTGTATCTTCTCGAGACTCTAGCATTTTCTATAAACCCACAGTTCATTTGATATAAAAAGCAAGAGATGAAAAGCCTGACCTGTTAGTGTGGCTATCCCTCCCTCATGCCAGCTTTACCCGGTATCTTTTAACAGGCTTACCATAGGACCAACAATGAACGTCGTTCCTACATCGCGGAAATGACTCAGGTAACTCCTTTTATTGCAAATTCTAAAAGTTTCCTCTGACGCCAAGTCATTTTGTTTTCCCATTCTTGTTTGGTTGGCAGAGAAACAGATGTTGGGATTATGAAAGGAAACAGACTCTGGTTTTTTAAAGAAAGTGGAAAGGAAAAGACAGAACTTTTAATAAAGAGATGAAAGGGTCTCCCCAGTTAAAAGAGAAATTTGCATAGTTTAATTCCTAATCACTGCGATGCAGATAACCTGATGATCTTCAGGTGTCAGAAAATTCCAGGCGTGTTGTTTCCTGCTTGTGGGGAGTTCTGAGCTACACAGCAAGCACTCCTGTGAGAAGAAATGGTACAAGTGGTCCTGACTCTTGACAGGTTCCATCTGGTTTTCAGTTCCAGCTGTGACATTGGTGATATTACAGAGGCTGTGCTTTACATCACTGCTCTGTGACTTATGTTACTGTGGTTTAGAAGATTGACTTCAGCTTAATGTTTTATAACAGCCACCACGTCATTCAGCATGTATAAACCTTGATATTTGATGCTCACATGCATACTTAATGTACATAACTTTATTTCAATATACATTTTAAGATTAGGATATGAGTTCAGTTTTCAATGAATATTATTCAAGCAAGTATCTAGATAGCAGGTGTATGTTTAAATGATCAGGAAAATGTTCTAGATTAGAAAGAGACATTTAGAAAATATTGGCACACAGAGAGTAATTACAGTCACGTGAGGGAATGAGATGGAGCAGGGACCGCATGTAAGATGAAAAGAGAAGACAGTTCAGAGCATGGTTCTGAAGAGCATCAATGGTGAATTCAAGGGAGCCAGAAGGAGAGTGCAGCTAGGCAGGTAGGGATGTGAGGGACCCAGGGGCAGGCTGGAACATCTGTTATAGTGATATGGAGCATTGAGGATGATGTAGGAGACAATTCAGATGAGGACCTAGGTATGAGGATTTGGAGCCCAGAGGGCAAGTATGGTAGAATTTGGGAATGAAAATTAGGGTTACAGTGGCAAAGGAATGCTTGGAGATTAATGTCAACAAGGATGGTAGGGAATGAAACAAAACAGGATGGTCCCTGCCATCTCATGTCCTATGCTCACAATCAATACCACCATCCTTGACCTTGGCAATGGCTGGGAAGCAAGGCTTGCACCTGCAACACCTCCCTCCTGCCTATTCTCTACCTCCACACTGTGCTTGGAACATACTGTTTCTCATCCGAGCCTGCTCCATTCCATCTGGAGGTCTCTTGTGAACACTGTCTTCTCTATGAGGCCTTGACTTGATGGAAAGACTACAGACCATGAAGCCAGACAGACTCTAGATTTGGATCCAGATCTTCATTTACTTGCTGTGTTAGCTTCTTAAAAAGTGAGTATGCATGCATGAGTGTGTACCTGCGTGTGTGCGTGTGTGTGTGTGTGTGTGTGTGTGTGCCAGACCACTTGCTGTCTTCCATTGCTCTCTGCCTTGTTGCCTTGAGACATCCTTCCATTGAGCTGGAAGCTCACCATTTCAGTTAGGTTGACTAGCTGATAAACTCTTGGGATCTGTGGGTCTCCTTCCTGCTACAGTTCCAGGTGCACACAAGCTGCCTGGCTTTTTACTTGAATTCTGGGAACTTGAAGGAAGCCCTCATGCTTACCAACTGTATGTTCTTATATGTTCTTAGCCCCTGAGACATCTCCCAGTCCCTACTTGCTGTGTGACCGTTCTGGTCCTCACCTTCTTTGCATCCCCTGAGGAAAGATATAATACCATCAGTTTCCAGGTCTGGGAGTATTCAGAGAGCTCTTTGTTTGAAGTGTAGGATGAAATGTCTGATGTATCAGAGGCTCGAAAGTCCAGTAACTGGGAGATGCTATCTCCCCATTCCTTCCTGGTCTTTGGATGTTCTCGTTCTGCGATAAGATTTCTGCTTGCTTTCTGGATTCTTATAGCAAACATATGTGCTTACTTGACACAACTCTATGTCCCTGTGGAGGTCAGACAGGGTGCTTGACTCTTCCTGTTGCCTTACTATGTACTATGAAGAGTGTCATTGTTTAAATGAAGCATTTACACAACCAACACTAAAAAGCAGATTGTTAGGAAAAGGTTTATTCATGTAAAATGCCCTTGAGGATTTTGTGTAAAGTGAAAAGTCAAAGTCTTTTGCCCCTGAAACATCCATTTACCTTTATTTATCTAAAAAAATTCCACTTAGGTGGATTAATCTTGCTAACTGTGCAGAGTCATCAAATGTTCAATCAAAGCCAACTGCTTTCCAGGAAGGCATTAATCTTGCCCCGGTATAAATGTTAATGAGGATTTCACTCTAGAGCGAATTGTTAATCTTTATCATCAAAGGTAGTTCTGGCCGTGCATAAACTATGGCGCCTGGGAAGGTTAATGGGTGAGTTTTGTTCTTTCACACTGAATGAATAAAAAATTGATCTGTGTTTGCTCAGTCATTTGTAGATGCTTCTGTAATTCTCTTCTGGCTATTTCCTTTTCCATTCACTGTTTGTCACCTGACTCAGTCTCTGCCTTCCTTGTCTCCCTTCCTGTGATCTCTATGGGAAGAATTTAGATACAGCCAGCAGTATAGAAAGCAGGCATGGCTTATTGCAGAGTAAATGCGCTCTCCAGCAGTGTGAGCAGACAAAGGTCAAGGAGACCCCTGGCCTGACCAACACACTAGGCAGCCATTATACTATTTTCTAAGATCTCTAGAACAAGCAGCTTCTCCTGAGGGACTTTGTCCTGACCAGGTGATTGACAGGCCTGCCTGGATATTTGCTTAGATGAGGAAGCAGTGGTGTGTCTCTGTTCTTGATCAGAAGCCTCCTGCTATATGTAATCCCATAAAGGTTTAGGACTCCTTCAGCCTGGCTTAGAAGGTCTCCATGTGTGACTCTCCAGACAGCTCAGTGTCTGTCTCCTTCTAAGGTCAAAGATGTGACTTGGGTTCCTTTTCTAGTCAGTAACTAAAGTTCGTTTTAGTTCTTGGTTTAAGTTGTAGACTGTGAGGGAAGATGCAGGCCCTGTGTCTTCCAAGCCTATTAAAGTCTAACTTGTCATTTAACAATTAAAGTGGGTGTGTTTTGACTGAAACCCACTCCCCCTCCACAAGTCTTCTCATTTACACACTGTGTGTAGAGGTCCCGCTTTGTAACCACTCATGAACACAAGGAGTTATTAAAGAGCAAAGCAGGGCTGACTTCTGAGCATGTTACAAGACCTGATAAATTTAAGTTGGACTGTCTGTTCCAAATAACAGAATTTTAGCAAAAGGCATGAGAATATTAAGTATAAATGCTTTGGGTTTACAGATAAGAGGCTGTTGGACTGTCCACCAATTCTAAATTCTTTTGATGTTCTTTGGATATGAGTGTGTTGTGTGTGTGTCACATCTGCGCTCATGTGTGGTACATACACCAAGAGAGTATATGGACAGTCATGGATGCCAGAGGAAGACAAGTGTCCAACTCTTTGCCTTATCCACTCATGGCAGGGCCTCTCACTGAACCTGGGTTAGGCTGCTGCTGTGACTCACTGACAGATCTCCACTGGCAGCATTAGGTGGATTCCCTACTGTCAACATGGTGTTCCTCAGACCCTCTAGCCTACTGCTTATACCACTGACTTTCTTCTCTCTGGTATTGCTCTTAAGTGAGGAACTCGTTCACTCATGGCTTCAGTAGCCATCTTGAAGTTGATCAGCCTCCAAAGTTCTTGAATTGATTGAGACATCTATTTGCCTACCCTGGAAAAATCATGAAATAAATACAATGAAAATACTGTCTTACCTTTCTGCTTTCCCACCATATATACTGTTCTTTGCCTTTTCTACCTTGCTGGTAGGATATGTGTTTTATGTATGTTTAATGTCTGCTACAAAAATTCCTAGTGGTCCACACCACATGGGTGATTGGCTTTCATGATTTTCTCCAATTTAATTTAAAAGCCATGTGGACTATGGGGCCAAGAGAGGGCTTGATTAGAAAATGGCTGAACTTCCTGTCTCTGTTAGCTGCTCCTTCATATACTAGTAAGAGACATGTTTGTGAAAGAGATTGACAGAAAATTGACTCTTTTAACCCAGAAATCAGTTGGGAAGTTAAAGGTAACTATGCTGTTTTTTTTGTGTGTGTGTGTGTGTGTTTCAGGTTTCTGGCTTAAATCAAGTATCTAAGAGGCAACAGATGGACCCACTGCCTAGAATGAAGGAGAGTCCGGTGAAAACGTACGTCTAGGTAGATCTCCCCTTGCTAGCTAATTATACTCGCCCTCCCGTGGCACTTGTTCAACAAGGTGTCCGTTGTATTTTGGAAGCTGAGATTCTAGATTTTATAGCTATGTATAAAACAGCACATGGGAAGAGACTACAGAGAATCTAATGGCCTAATAAGCCATATACACGAGATTGGAATGCCCAGAAGCACTGTTAGTCTCCAAAGGAGGTGGTGTGTTAAACTAAGACAACAGAGAACCCAGGCAGAGTTAAAAGGACACTCCTAACAACACAGTGGGCACAGCTGATGTGTCTGCACCTTTTCAGTGAAGAACTGTTGCTATGGATATGGTATAGTTTAAACTATGGATCCCATGTAAACGAAGCTACTTTATGCTGAAGAATGAAGGAACCTTTAGGTGTTTCTGAGGTTTAATATACTTCCAGGTCCTATAGAAAATATGGAATCACCTGATCCTGTCTATATGATAAGGATATTCATATATAATACTGAAAAAAATGAACCAAGTTGTAAATTTGTCCTAAATCAAACCTGTCTAACTTTAGTCAAGATGAGGAGTCCTCATAGGATATGTACTATGAGAAGTTTCTTTGGTAGAGATTAATGGTGTAGCCCAATTCTCAGCTACATGGACCAAAGCATATTTTTCCACTAATAGTCATTACTTATGTAAATTGCAATTAATTATATCTACACATATTCATCATAGAATTATAGTGTAGTTTAAATATTAAAATTTGACAAAGGACTTCCATGGAAAAAGAATCAAACCACTGTGTCTGAGATTCCCAAGAACATCTCCATGGTAAGAGACTCAATGGTAGTTTCCAGAACATAGGACATATTTGTACTTGTGCTAGGAGGTATCACAGAGAAAAGATCCCATTAAAATCCACAAGGGAAAAGGTCCTGGAGTCAAGTTTGTGAGGACTAGCTGGCAACTTGTCAGGTCCTGGCTAGGCAGAGTCTTGCTGACATACTTAGTCCCTCCAAGAGTGAGTTACAACAAGAAGCTGACAGCACATTAGGTTTTGATCTCCTAGGGAATCTCACTGCCTGTAGCACCCAATGTTTCTGTTGGCCAGAGTCACATATCTACCTAACTCCTACTAACATCTTGGACTCCAAAAACATACACAGATTTTGTAATGGTATAGGCACAGGGTGATATTCTTCCCACAGGGAACTGTTGCCACTAGGTGCCTTGTGTGCAGGCTTTCCCGAGGACAGTAATCCTGAGCTACTGTCTCACAGCTCCTCTCTGCACAGCAGCCTTCACAGCTACCTTCTATTTTATCTTTAGCCTAATCCAATCCTATTTTAAAAATACACTACTACTTATTTGAACTTTTCTTTGATAGCGAAGAGGTACTTTGGAAATTCAACTAAGGCTGTATTAACATTACATTAGTACACATATCCATAAACATTCCCATCCTGATTCTGAAGACAGTCTAGATTTTCACTGAATACTCTTGAGGTTGGCTGTCTCAGAATAGACCCTGAAATCACAGTCACCATAGCTAGGTGCCTACTTCCTGCAGGATCTCATCATGTTTGACTGAGGCTACACAAGGATTATCACTAAGGTACCAACCCCCTGCCCTCTATCTCCTTATGGAGAAATGGCCATACACCATGCCTCCATCTGCTTGCCCAGGGCCTATGGGCCATAGGTCTGAGCTGTGCCTGAGGTGCTATGTAGGAGGTGGATGCCATAGGCTGGGACTCTCTCTCACTCAGCTGCCTCAGGACCTTCAGAACCGCCCATTCCACCCAGATCCATTCTGTCTCTGACGAATCTGAATGTGGAGAGACTGTCCACCACAGACTGCTGCTTAATAATCCGTGGATGGATTACTGAGCTGATGAGTGGTCAAGCAGCTCAACTAATATGGCTTTCACTGTCTGAAACTAACTCAGACCTCACCCAACAGAAACATCTCTGTCTTCCTGATTAGGTATTTGAATACATTTAAGTAGTGTAGGTAGTGGAGAGTGCCTTAAAATATTCTGAGTTACTGACCTGACCACGGAATTTTGATATCCTCCTTTTGTTGATTGTTCCAATTTGAGTCATAACTAACGCTGGTACTAAGCACCTCACAGCAGCACTGACTGACCCAAGTGGTGCTGAGCTTAGGAGGAAGGGTTAGCACACGCCTCACCTGCAGACCAGAGTGGCCATTGTGAGTCACACTCACAACAGTGCAGTGGAAGTTGGTGGAGTGTGGATTTAGATGCTTGGGAATGGTGCTTACATTCACATATATAGCTGCCCATATACCTACTCCGTTTTCAACAATTCTACTTCTCAGTACAGTAGAGCCTTTACACCATAAGACCTGGGCATGGATGTCATAGATGCTTTATCCATGATAGTCAAAGGTGAAAAAAAAAACCTAAAATGTTCATCAGTAGGAAATGGATATTTCTAGTATCTCTGCATATATACTATATAGGTAATAGTAATAAATACATTTTATACAACATTTAGAAAATTCTCATAGTCTTCCGTAAAGAAATATGTAAATGTGCTTCCATTCACATAAAGTTTAAAACAGGCTGGAGTCATCTTGTATAAGAACACAGGATGGTCCTTACAACTGGGGCTGGGAACTACGAAGTACAGGAGAGCCTTCCAGTAAGATGACAAACAGTATTTTATCTATAAGCCTGGGGAGTAGTTACTGGAATTTTACCTTTCCGGTACCTTATGGAACTGTGAGTTTATGGTATGCACACTTTCGGACATGTCATGTTTTGCATGATATTTTTAAAACTCAAGAGCTATGGCCTTAATGTTTGCTCTGGTTGACTCATATGTGCTCATCAACTTGTATCTGTAACACAGAGGCTGATATAATCACTTACTATTTTTTACTTTAGCCTTAGTTTAAAAGGGTCTTGTCTATGCAAGTGACTGCCCTCACTATGCTGTGCCAGTGTCAAATTGTACGCTGATTGGTTGGCAGTATAAGGCAGAACAAAAGTGACACACTCGAGGAAGGGAGAAACGTGAAGAGGGAGGGGCTGGGTCTCACCAATGGCTTCAAAGTTATGTTTCCAGTGACCCCAAGGCTTCCCATCAGACCCAGCTTCCTGCAGATATAGCCTCCCTCCCACTAATACTTCCAGGGGCCATGTTTAACACAGAGATCTTTGAGTGACAGGCAACATCCATATTAGCAGTAGCAATGTTCAAACACTGGCTTGTGATACTGTTCGACACTCAGGATGAATCAGAGTACCAGAAGAAGTCCATTTAAGAGAAATTATGTTTAAAACACTGATTTCAAAAAATGACTCTGTCCAGTTGAATAGCACCAATTATATTCCAGCTTCATGAAATTGTGACTGTAAATAAATAGGCCAGCTCCATCTCCATGAAAGATCTATTCTAAAGATCCTTGCACACACTGTTATAAAGCATTGCTAAGATGATTAAGATGATTGAGGGAGATGTTCTTTAGAAATAGATTTAGAACTTGTCCCTAAATTCTACAAAGTTGATAGGTAGACTTGGACCATGGGCCGTGAAATATATTAACTGTGAATTATGGATTTGCAAGTAAGGACCTCAAATGGTGATGGATACATAGCAACAGCTCATCAAAGAACCCACAGTGATGTTTCTTGTTCTTTGCTATGCAGCCTCCTCTTTGCTTTGTTGATGAAAGTTTTATATAGTGATGGAAGGCCTTTTGAAGACAGAGCTGTCCTTCATACTCCAGAATAAAAGCACCCTTGGGAAATTAATTGTGACTTCTTGAGGGACAGATTGGGGAGCTTATTTTTGAGACAAGAATCAGATATATAGCCAACATCTGCAGCCTTAAGAAATTAATTCAATAAACTGTAACAGGATTAAGGAGTTCTAATCAGGGATGGGGGAAGGGATAGGGGGTTTCCAGAGGGGGAACCGGGAAAGGGGATAACATTTGAAATGTAAATAAAATATCCAGTAAAAGAAAAAAACCCCAAAACCAAACAACAACAACAACAAAAAGAAGTTCTAATCAATTCTAGAAGACCCTAGAATGCAGATGCTAGAATATATAATTGATGTAGAAAAAAGGTTTATGATAGTAAATAGAAAGTATAATGTAAAAATAATTTGATGGTGGTATAGATGATTTGTGTTTATTCATTTTTAGTATTGTCTATGAATTGTGCAGTTTCATATCATTTTAATGAGAGTAATAAATGAAGAAAAATTCTATCATAAGCTAGCCTGTGGAGTTCTCCAAGTCAAAATAACAGTATATTCAATATTATCCTTTTAAAGATGCAAGAAGCATGGTGGTCAATAAAATTTTGCTGTGCATTTGGGGCAGACAGAAAATCAATTTTCTCTAATCAAATTATCCAATGTGGCTTTATATAAGTAGTTACTCCCAGACTCAGTTTACCCCCTTGTAATATGAGAGTATATTGGATGGTTGGTAGAAGACTTAGAAGGTTTCAAAAACACTCCTAACTAGATAAATATTCTCAAATTTCCTTCCTTTCCAATGTGTAGCACATTAGTAACTATAAAGAGTAAACAAAATCAGAGAACATCCTTTTGTAAAGAGAGAAACGTAAGTATGAACAATAATTTGAGCACGAAAACAACCATTATGTAACACACTAATATCATTCATGGAATACCCACATATAAAGTGGTTTCTGAACCTTCTTGAGCTCAACTGAGCAACATGGTTACCTGTCTGGTTTCTACATATACACCCATATACAACTGGAGCATCTGCTGTCACACACACTAAAGCAGCCTCCTCCTCCAATGCCCATGGAAGGTCATGCCCATTAGTAGTCTCACTGTCTGGGCTCTTGGTGCTCACTAATCTGTTTATGTGGGTTTTTTCCCTACTATTGTGTCACATGGAGAGTGCCACCCACATGTCTAGCTTCTGTTCTCAAGGGCATCCACACAGCCAGAGTTTCTGTGTTGATTATCTAGCTTTCCAGGTTTTTATAGACCATTGGTTATCTAATTGTCAGTTGATGGGGATTTGAATTGTTTATACATTTCTGATAATGTTAATAGTGTCTCTATAGATACTCCTGACAATGTTTTATGCATGCTATTTAGTTATTTGAATACAAAATAACGTGCTTCCTTGTGGCATTTTCATATATACTTAGGTTCGAGTGGTCCCTCCGGTCCCATCCACTCCTCTCTGCCATCTCTCTGCGTTCCTGTTATATTCTTCTAACTTCAGGATGCCCCTTTCCACTTTCATACCCTTCCATTCCTCTTCCTAAAAACATCTTCCCCCCAAAGGAGCTCTGTCTAGTTTCTTAGCATACACACTCACTTCCAGGTAATGCACATAAAAATTAGAAGCTGAGATCCATAGATGAGAAGAAGCACGTGGTACTTGTCTTCTGGTCCCAAGTTACCTCGTTTTAGTATGTTTCCATTTTCATTTCGCCTCATGGCAGCTTACATTTTCATTGTGTGTCTGTTCCACATTTTCACCATTCATCTGATGAGGCACACCTAGGCTGACTCCTTAATCTTGCTGCTGTGAACAGGGCAACTGTGAACACGGGTGCACACGTATGTCTGTCACAGGGCTCCAGTCCTTTGCTTATGTATCAGAAGCAGAGTCATATGGCAATTTTATTTTTAGTTTTTAGAGAAACAACCACACCATTTTCCACAGTGCCTGAACTGCTTGATAACTCAACCAACGACTAAGGCTGGCTCTCCCCACAACCTCATCGACATTTGCTGTCATTAGTTTTCCTGCTTGGGTGAGATGGATCTCAAAGTCATTTGTGTTTCTCTAATGGATAAGGATGTTGGGCACATTTTCAATGTTTGCTTCCCCGTTTTTATGCTTGAGAACCAGCTTCAGTTCAGTTCACTGACCAGATCTTTACTGGCAGTTTTGGGGCTTGGGAGGTGAATATTTACATTCCTCTGTATACTCCAGATATTACTGCCCCATCTGACATATAGCGGGCCAGAACTTTCTCCACTCTGTGGTTCTTCTCCCCCCTTGTCTCCTTGCCACACAGAAGCTTTTTAATTTCTTGTGATCCCATTTGCTGCTGGGTTTCTATGAAGAAAATAAATTCTTACTGCTGTTTCTTAAAGTGCTGTCTCTGGTTTTTTGTTTGTTTGTTTTTGTTTTGTGTTGATTTTTAACTATGGCTGTTTTAGCATTTCATGTTTTAAACTGAGGTTTTATTGACAGCTCCCTCCTTTTTTTCATTAGAGTTATATTTTGTCTGCATTTTTGGTTATCCATTATTTTATCAAAACTGGGCATTTTGTATAATATCACATAGCTATTCTGTATCTCAGATACTCCCCCCCCCCAGCTGAAGGTTGCTATTATGTGGTGCCGTTTTAAAATTCATTCTGTGAAGTTGGTATTCTTTGTCATGAGTGGTTACTACACACTGTGCCGAGGTGGCAAAGTGGTTACCTTAGGATTGACAGAAACATTCAATGTACTTGGAATCAATAAACTTCTTCCTTCCTGGGGGACATAGCATATGTGTTTGGATAGGCTGTCCATACTCAGCCATGAAAAACCTCAACTCTGCCTTTGCCCTCATTTCTGCTCTTGCAACACCTAAATTTTTGGCAGAGGTGAGAGCATATGTCCTTCTCAAGTCAAGACACATGGTTCTAGGCATGTATAGCTACAACAGAGTATGGCATTCCAGATCCCAAGACTGGTGCTGGAATTTATTAATACCTACCCCCAGCCTTTTAGCTTCCCCAGTTAGCTTAGTTTTAAATAATGGTAGCCATGAAATTAAATGATGGCTTCAATTTGTTCCAGCAAATTCTCCAAGAGGAGTGTTCATGCTGGACCATGTCCAGAGAAGGCCAAAGAAGAAAAGCTTTCCAGTCAGTAATTGATGGCTCCTGTAGTGTGTGTTGGCTCCTGGTTTTACCATAGCTATGGGCTGTTGATTTTCTTGGAGGTAAGGGGCAGGTGTAGGGCTAGGGGAAACTAAGTTCCACATAACTGGGTGCTCTCACCAAGTCCCCAACTTATTTTCTTTGTTTTATACATTCTTGAGAACTGCTACAGATTTTTGATTTCTAGAGTTCTAAACCACTCACTTTGGAATTTTTTTATTTTTTTTATTTTTTGCCAACTTCTCTTTGCTTTTATGGGGGAGAGGAAGTTTTCCCTTGCTCAGGAGTAAAATGACAGGTCTTTACTTGGTTGTTTTTGCCGAGACCACTCTCTAAGATATATTTGAAAAGCACAGGAGCTGAAGCAGCCTCTTCTATCTCATAGAAGAACACAAAGAAGTCACCTGCACAAAGCTGGATAAGCCAGCAAGAGAAGATTCCATGGGATCTAAGAACAGAAAGCAGTGTATTAGTATTATTTTATTAGCCCTATCCTATTTCTTGACCTCTCTGCGTTCCTGACTTTAATTCAAGGTAAGTAGCAGTTAATCCCCCCTTGGGTACCTTCTGGAGACTCATCTTTTGAGTACCTTCCATGGCAGCGATTGCTCTGTAGCTGCAGTGAGACAATGACATGATTGTCTATGACTGTGCTGTAGGCAGAACATGTGCAGATGAAGACTTCCTTACTCCAGCCTGGAGGAGACGAGTCCACCCTAGTTCTCCATATGTGGCATATACTGTTTTTGTTGCAGACAGCAGTGACAGAAAAATTATGATCGATGCTTATTTTATTTCAGTGGAAGACACAATTCCATGAATCAGAAGACAACAAATGCCAAGAAAGGACCAGTTAAAAAGGTTTCAAGATCAAATCATCTTCCAAAACTCAACCCGTGATTCCAGAGCTGGGCAGACTTCTATTTTTTTCCCATCTTTTTCTTCATTCAGCGTCTTCAGTTTAGGAAGCTAATGTTCAATACATTCCTCAGGGGAGGAAATAGATGAGGAAGAGTGCTTTCTCTCGATCTTTCAAAAGTTGATTCCTCTGCCTGCATAAAAGTCATGTGTCTCCAGTGACCCTAAATATCCAGTACATGTGCTTGTAGTTCTTAGAATACCTTAGAAGGGAGCCTGAAGGTTGACATCATTCTGACACTCTCTGTAGAGTGTTTCTGATATGCTCTGGCTGCACTGTTATGTCGCATTTGGTTTCTAAATTGACCATTAGCTAAAATTATATATTTTATATATCATATAATAATAATATATATCTCTACCTTTTTGCTATTTTAGATTGCATCATGCTCAGTTCAGCTTTTTACAGTTAAGGTTTCAACATAATCCCAGAAGACGTGCATATGAAAGCTTCAGGGAAATATTGTTAGCAACTTCAGCCATGCACTGAGTTGTTCTTGGGGCTCCCTCTGATGGTAACCTTGAGGACTTAGGGGAAATCCTGTCACTTCATGTTTATTTCCTACATCTATAAAATGACTATGGTAAATTGTATAGTTTATAAGATTTCTTGCAGTTCTAGAAAACCTATTCAGTCCCAGTGGCCTGCCATTGTGTATGTGGCATTAAAATCATTTTGTGATATTTACTAACTCGCAACAATGGTCTAGTCTTTGGCCCAAACTTTGCAAGAGTTTGGAATACTGGAGACTAGAATGAAATAGAGGGAGAATAAGAAATTATTTTTAGGACCCATGAACTTTATTCAATTTTATTCATGTTTATGGTGTTTTGTAACTTGAATGTTTTTTGTCATTATAAATCTAGGTCAGAAAGATCCATATAATTTACTTGTCTATTTAAATAAGAGAAATTATTGGAATTTACATTTCTTGTGCATGTTTAAGCAAGTGATGTTTTGACCTGTACCTGATGAGAAATGTCATTCGTTTCCTTTTATATGTAATGTGTCTTTTACACCTGAGGGGTTTATGTGTGTATGTATGTATGTATGTATGTATGTATGTATGTATAATGCATAATATATACCTGTATGTATAGATAATAGAACCATAATGCTGCACTCGTGAACTTGCAGTAGCTATGGTTGTCTGCACAAAACCTGCATGAGATCAAGCTAGCCAACATTCCAGCTCCAGTGTCAGAAGGATACATGGGCCTCACCCTTGCTGAGGATCTGGTGACAGTAAAGGCTGGTAGAGAGAGAGAGCCCTTCTTTTTACGGGTGTGGTCCCTGGTAGGTTCAGAATGATCCAGTAGATGGCCCCACATCCATGTATTTATAGACAACACTAACTGGCTTCAATGGAATATATTTGTGTATATGTATATATGTGTATATATATATATGTGTGTGTATACACACATATTTAAAGATATGCTGTTGGGAGGGAATTATAAGGAGATCTGGAAATTGGGAGGAAGTGAGTGTGTGTATGGAATAAACACACTGTATACATGCATGAAATTATTAAAGAATAAAATGTATTAATAAAATGGAACATTGGCATGATAGTGGCTTTAATTTACTTTTTTCTCTTTATTTCTCTCCCAAGTTTGTTTCTAGAGATTGATTTTTCTCCTGGCTTTGAGTCTCCTGTTGTTCTTTTTATATCTATTCAGTTTTTATTGGATGCTAAGTATTAATAATTTTACATTGTAGATTGCAATGAGTATTTAAATTGCTTACAGTTCTGCCTAACCTTTCAGACTTCAGCTGAGGTTACTAAGCTATAGCTAGCCTAAGGCACTAGTAAAGATACCCTGAGTGACACAAAGGACACATAGCTCTGCCTGGCCTAGACTTGGATGCCCTGGGGCTTACAGGCATTCTGGTTCACTGCTTAGCAATTTGTGCCTTGGTGTCCCGTAGGGGCTCATGGTATCCTGTGCAGACTTGGGATTCTGTTTTTGTACAGGCCTTTGTGTTCATAAGCCTCTCTCGCCAGCTTCTGTCTCCTGTAATGTGGGGAATGGTCCTGTTACCGTGAGACTTCCTTCTCTGAAGTCTATGATGTGCCGTAGGGGAGGAACTAAGGGGCAGCAGGACTTGCTGCTTTCTCCAGCATCCCTCTCTTATGCCTGCAAACAACTGTCTCATCTGTTTTGATCTACCCTTCTGTTTAGTCACCATGAATAGATAGATTTGGCTCTGCCACTCTTGCAAGGCCAAAACTGAAGAACTCATTTCCTTGATATTAAAATATATTTAAAGCAAAGAAAGTGTATTAAAATGCAAAGTATTAAAAATTCATTTCATTTTTTCAATCATTTTATTTCTTTTAGTTGCATCTGGATAAAGGGGGAAAACAGGGCTTTATCCCTGTGCAAGTTCTGAAGAAAAAAAGTATTTGGTGATCAAACTAGTGGTCTGCAATCCAGATTGCTTTATACTCAACGAACAGTCTCCTTTCTCTGAAGAATGCACCTGAGGCTCATGTTTCATAGATGGGAAGTACTCTGCTTACCAGTCTATAGGGCATAAAGTCTGGGTTGAATGTTTTTGAAACAGAGTTCAGGAGCATATGACAGGTGCAGAGTTGTACAAGTCCCTGTATCGAGCAGATATACCCTCCTGTGACTTCTCTCTGGTGGTCGTTGCAGGTTTGTTTGGTTTTGTCTTTGTATTTGAGACAGTGTCATGTTATGTAGCTTAAAACTGGACATATCTAGGAAGAGAGAACCCTAGTTGTTGAGTCTCCATTGGATTTTCTTGTGAGAGTGTCTGCAGAGCTCTTTCTGGTTAGCTAACTTGTAGAAGTGGGTCTAGTCCACCACGGGCATTGCCAAACCTAGGCAGGTGGTCCTGAGCTGTCTAAGGAAGGTAGCCGAGCAAGCCAGTGAGCTGCATTCTTTCATGGTTCCTTTTTCAGGCTTTAGCCCTGGCTTCTCTCGATGATAGCCTGTGACACGGGAATGTACACTAAGTAAACCCTCCCCTCTCCTAACTTTCTTTGTTAGTGTTATATCATAGCAGAAGAAAAGTAAGCTAGAACTCCTAGCCAGAAACTTGTCATCCTCCTGCCTCAGCTTCTGAAATGCTGGCACCAAAGACACATATCACCACACACAGCCAGGCCAATAATCCAAGCATAAGACATGAATGCCATTTCCAGGACTGGCCCACAAAAGCACCCAAGATCATCATCCCTGGCTGTGCCTCCTCCCCACCCTGATCTCTGACGGTTTTGGATGTAGTGTAAGCACAGCAATGGGTTTAATGTGCTTATTTTCCATTTTCTTTATTCTCTCTGTTTCTATGACGGGCTCTTCCCACCCCCTGGTTTCTGATCTCATTTTCTGTTCATTATATAATTTCATGAATGCTGTGCATTACGTTGCTGTTGACAATTTTATTGAGCTCCATCCTTGCAAACATTAAATTACGTCCTTTAATGTGGAGGCTGGAGATCAGGCTCAGGTCTTCGGGCAGGCAGGAACTTTACTGACTGAGCCATCTCCCCAGCCCCCTGCTACTATATAGATGAAATTATATTAACCAAAAATTATAAAATTGTATTGCAGTGAGTTTTAAAAGGGATCTAAAGGTACCTTTTGATATCTGTGTGTTCAGAGCCAAGGAAGTTCTGAATGCCTGAAGGATGGCATAGCCCTCAGCACCTACTTCAAATGTGAGCTAGAAGATTGCATGAAAAAAGAAACAAACACACCCTCTCCTCCCTGAGTTGCTTTTGGTCAGTACTATATATGACAGCTACAGAAAAACAAACTAGAATACCTAGGCTAGCCTTAAACTGGTCATCCTCCTGCTTCAGTTTCCAAAGTGTTGACACCACACATTCCAAAGAAGCAACTCTCAAAGCCCTGATGTGCAGTAGCCCCACAGCATGGAAGACTCTCAGGTTCCTGAATCATCATATGTAGCATATTTATTCTGTTCACAATGCTGCTCCTCATCTGGTTGTTGTGTGAATAAAACATCCCTACTCGTATGTGTTCTGTGTTTGGCCACCAATAACTGAATTTTACTAACTAAAGCAATTAACCTATTCTCATTTATATTACACCAAGCAATACTTCTAATAAGTCTTAGAGGTATTGGGCATTTTGGTAGACAATAGCATCTACTAAAATCTTCACAATCACACAGATAATCAGATAAATCATGATAAATCATGGATTGTAGTGTTATTGGTCAAGGAATTCTCAAATAGCACTCAAAATTGAATCCGACTCTACTTTCAAATCTTCTCACAATAACTAGAACAACAATTTGGTTTTATATTTCCATTAATAACCTTATAATGGAAGATCTCCTAAGACTCGCTACAAATGATTTATAAATTGATAGTCCAATGCTAGCTATGCCTAAACAGTTGTACAATGCACAGTCAGTGACCGGATAGGAAACATGTCCAGAGCAGCTTCACTTGGGAGGGGAATGTTCAGCCTCACCGATTTGTGGCATTTATGGGATCCCAATAGGCAGGCACAGTGAATACCTTCTTCCCAGGGAACTGGCAGACTCCCTGCTTGCATGCTGACCCTATTTTCTGAGAGGAACACTCCTGTCTACCTTTTCTCAGTAACCTTTGCTTTACTCTGGTTCTCTCTTCCCTATCTTCCTCACGTCTCAAGCGGGTGCCAAGAACTATACTGTCCTTCAGGCATGCACAACTTCCAGAGCCCATTTTCTGAACAAACATGGGTCTCCAGAGGTATCTTTAGTGCCACTTTAAAAAAAAACACCACAGTTTCCAATTTTACAGGTTTTGAGACAATAAAATTCCACCTACCTAGTAGCAGAAGGCTAGGGAGATGGCTCAGTTGGTGAAGGGCTTAACTGACTGAGCATGTGAGTCTGATGACATCCACATAAAAAGCTGGGCACAATGGTGGACCTTGTAATCGAAGCACTGCGGAAATAGAGAGGAATCTCTAGAGTTCAATGGTCAGCCACTATAGGCTAATCTTGAGCTCCAGGTTCAGTGAGAGACCCTGTTTCAAAACAAATGATGGAAGTGATGGGCGATAACACAAAATACCAACCTTTGCCTCCATGCATGCACACGCACACTTACCCATACATACATGTGTGCGCACACACACACACACACACACACACACAAGACACATACACACACACTGTATCCAAACTCATTTTGCTTTTTTAAAACAACCAACTACACCCCACACTTTATACTAAGATTTTTCTCAACATCTTTTCTTAGGTCTACAGTCTGCAGAGTACTAAGTCCTCTATAGAAAACAGGAGTCTTCAGGTTTCCAACCTTTGTTCTGTCTAGGGTCTCCCAGAGCTTCTGAGTTAATACCACTTGCTTCAGTATTTGATTGAGGCAGCTGCTAACTTGAAGAGTTGGAAGGTCCACACAAAAGGTTTTCTCTCTTATACAATGATCAAGTTGGGCTTCATCAACCAAAGATGTAAAAAAAAATATACAATACACACACACACACCTACACCTACACCTACACCTACACCTACACCTACACCTATATATCTGAGGAACCTGTTAAGAAAAAACATTGGCAGTGTTAGAGCACCAATACATACGCACATCTTTATATTATACATACACACACACACACCACTTGGGCATTATGGAAGTTTCATTGTAAACATGAAAAGTTAGTTCAGGAGTCTTTTCTCTCCTGTCAGTATATATTCAACTATCCACAAGATGCCCCCTTTTCTATTTCACGCCATCCCCGACATTCATAAACAATATATTTCTCTTTTTAAGATTGCCTGAGTTTTTGCTGACAGAAATTCCTGCTAGCTTAGGCCAGCTGTCACTGTGGCTAAAGGAAAACCAGTCCCTTTGAGACTCTTTTCTCAGGCAGCACAGCCACAGAAGCTCTGAGGAATCTGCTGATTCTAATGTCTCAGTGGCATAGTTGTGGCCAGGAGTGGGGGCCACTCTGGGTGTGACACAGCCTTAGCCTTGGCTTTACTATCAATTCTGGTTAGTTCTATATTCTCTTACAAGGCACTGAGGTTTAAAACGAGGTACATTTGCTACAACCAATTCTTGCTTTTGAATGTTAGTATATTAGTTAATAGGAAAGCTGTCAAGACCTATTACAGTCCACTGCTGGGCATAATCAGTTCCTATGTGATGTTTTTTTTCTTTTTGCCACCTAAGGGAAATACTTCTTAAGCCATGGTGGGGGCATGTACGTATTATCAACTGACTAGTTACTGGGATATGAATTCTGGTAAAACAGTCTGCCGTATGATCTGAAAGTAGTTGTCAATTGTTGAACAGAGAGATAAGAGGGTTCCTACTGAGTTGTTCTAACAAAATGCCACAGGCTGGCTTAGGAAAAAAAAACAAGAATTTTATTTCTACCAGTTCAGAAGCTGCCAAGTGTAAGATCAGTGTGTGGGAAGATTCAGTGGACTAGGGATGGTCTGATTCCAACGCTATAGACGGTATCTTCTCATTGTGCACTCACTGCCTTGAGAGGTCAAGGAACCTCTCTCAGGCCTCTTTTTTCATCAGGACACTAATGTAATTAATGAGGCCT